ATAGATTATAAAATATATAACGTTAGTAAACATAAACCAAAAAGTTAAGACTCACAAACTTCTTACAGATTCAGAAGAGAAAGAATTAAACCCTTTCCTCCTGCCCCTGAAATGGATTTCCTTTACTAAACTACCTTCTTAGGCAGAAGACTGCAAACACGCTATTTCAGTAATGCATATAAATGCAAAGAAGGTGGGTTCCCTGTCTTTTTTGGTCTGCTTTTATTACATCAAACTCCTCCAGTTTTACCCTCAAATATGTGGCCAAGGCATTTATTTTCCTGCATGTAATTACATATTCATCAATTTTCTCATCTTTTCTAAAAATCCTCAACCTACTTCTGAAATAAAACAACACTCATCTCCTTATATAACCATACATCTTCCATATTTAGCACCCCAACCTATCCTTTTTTCAGAGCTATGTTATCCCTCTAATCCCATCACCCATAGCCTAACTAGCAAACACGTGAAAGCATGAAGGTTTTTCAAAAATATCCCCAACAACTTTATGAACAAAACACTAGTAAAAAAACCATTACTCTTACCTAAACCTTACTGCAAAAAAACCCCTCTTACCTAAACCTTACTCCAAAGAGACCTCAAAACACATAATCTCCTGTGCCATCCCCCCAGTATTCTCAAGCCAACAACCCACAACCATAGTGACACAAACCCAGATTTTCCTATGCTCATTTTCTACCTCGTAATTTAAGCATAAAAAACACTGAAAAATACCCTCAACTCATCAATCCCAACAATTTTCTTTACCCATCTACCTTCACTTAATAAATCGTTCCTCAAGAAAATACCCCGAGCAGCTGTCAAATCCATTTTAAGAGCTCCCAAACCCCCAATTAGCAATCAAGAGCATTGTACCACCCTATGTATAATATAAATCTCCAGAACAAAAGCCAAGCAAGTGGCTAAACTCCTCTCAGTTACCCACACATAATTACCAGCTATTCTTTCAATCAACAGTAACACAACAAAATTATGAATATAGACTATATGTTTCAGGAAAAGGCTTGGCAAAAGCTTGGCAACTAAAGAAACAGAATCAATAAATCCCACTAACAAACCCCTCAGTAAATCAAGAATAAAGCTAAAAACAAAAAATGAGACCTCCAAAACAATTAGCATCCCACATCTAAAAACAATACCAAAGCAAAAACTCTACAGGAAGGAGAGAAAGGATCAAAAGAAATTGCTATTAAGTGAGAAATAAAGCATCATACCTGCTAGATTCCTGTTGCATTCTAACTGAAGTCTGCAGTTTTAACACAGTAGTGATTTTGTAACCACAGAAACCTAAAGGCACTAACTAAACAACAACAACAAATCTACCACCTCTTTAGCATCTGCAAAAAACATAAGTGACTAACCTGCATCTTCTGGGCAAGTGACACCACCACTTTCTTTTGTTTGTCTTCTTCTACATTCAGCAACTGTTCTACCATGGCTCCTACCTCTACAAAGAACCTAAAGTATCAGTGTGATTTTACAATCTCTTATTTGTAACTCTGACAGACAGTTACCACATTTTATGAAGTGAAACTTTGCCAAAAAAATAAAAAGAGAAGTTCACAATCCACTTTTAACTGACTTCTCATCCAGGACCACACCAGCGTGGAGGGTAGGATCATCAGCCTCTCATATTTCATATCTATCACTTCTTCCTCGTGTGTATCACGTGTGGCTGGGAAAGGCCCTTTGGAAACACTGTCACTACAAATAATGTTAGATAATAATAATAAAATAATGTTAACAAAATTGTTAGATAACAAATTGCATTTGTTAGATAACTCATTTCAGGTTTTCCACTTAGACTCTGGATTCAGAGCTCCCTCATCAAGAGCTGTGTCTCAAAAGTTGCTCTTCACACAAAATATGATTTCTTTCTGAAAATGTACAAGTGCATATTTAAGTGCAATTATCATGAATTAAACAATTAAAAATGGATCACTGAATAACATTGAACGACATCTGTTTTGGGAGGTTTCTTTCATATCCAATTCAGTATCTACCCAATCTAGTATCTAATTCTAATGTCTAGTATGTAATTTCCTTTAGATTTCTGCTTCACTGAAATCTTTTGCATAAACTGTATTAGAATATTTTTGAGATCACAGTTCTTACTGCAGGCTTCTTCTTTAAGATCTAGAAAATAATGCCTTACTGTGAGGAATAGAAATAGAGACAGAATCTTTTGCATATAGATCGTCTTTGTTACTTGTATTTACTGCATTGTACTTGTCACCTTCTGTATTTTTTTAAGGTAGCTCATAGCTTTCCAATTGTGCAGACATAGGAAGAAGAGCTTGGTGCTAGTGGTTGTTTGCAAGAGAATTGGAAGAGTGGGGAAGAGATTTTCAGCATTGACTGCAACTCAGTGGTCTGAAAGAGACAGCGAATGGACAGAGAGAGACCTACAAAATCACAGAAGTTATGATTAAGTTCAGTTATTCACAGTACAAAGTGGGGGAAAAATGGTATGGCTTTGAAGTAACAGTAGGAAATGTTGCTTCTCATCATGGTTTTCTAAATGCTGGAACTTCTTGAAATAAGAAACTGTGAAAGGCAAAAGCATAAACAAGTGCTAAAGAGTTCAGACAAATTAGTGGAAAAACAGGCATACATTCATGAACTCAGATGGCCCAGCCGACACTGAGAAAATCCTCAAACAAGGGGGAGCATTTCTCAGGACATTTTCCTGCTACTTCCGTGACTCCTTGGTCATCCTCTACTTTGTCCATTTTGGAACCTCAATAGAAATGAGACTTTTGATCTAACCCAGGATTGCACTTCATCTATTAATACTTGTGAATGTGATGGTTAAAAAAAATAAAAGCCATTATTCTAATCAAAACTTATGAAGAGTGGCTATTCTTTGCAAATGTCGGGCAAAAAACACCACTGTGACCCCAGATACATCACAGCCCAGCAACATTGTGGGGTTTACTAAATTGATTACATTGATTGCTTTTCTTCTTTTCTTTTGGAAGAGAAGAAAATTTTGGATCACAACTTGGGCTTACAGTTGAATCTCTAAATAATTTAGAATAAATTGTTTTTTAGAGATCCTGTAACATTCCTTGAATCAAGGAAATACCCATTGGCCATTGGGATTTAAGAGTAAGCTCAAAACTCGGTCCTGTTAAGCAAGGAAAACTGTACAAGATTGCAAAAAGCAAAACAGAGGAGAAAGCCAGCTGTGCTCACAGCATCAAATTGAAGGGTCGAAGCATAAATTAATCCAACATATAGTTAAAAATCAATTCCACATACTGTGAGATTGCAAAACCCCTGGTGCTTTCATCAGAACGCCGTTGCTTTTGTCTGATGTTACTATCAGGTCAGCAGACCCCAGCACTAATTTATTTGCTTGAATTTATAATGACTAAGTCCTGGCAAAGACTTTTTCGTTTTTAAACTTGTTTGCAAGGCCCTGACAGATAAACACACTCTTTCAGCTCCCTGTTTTGTGTGTGGGAGTCAGGCAGCCAAATGCAGATGGATTGTAAGCATCTAAAGCCATTTGTTTAGCAAACCAAATGCTTGCTTTATTATTTGCAAGTAATCGAAGAGCACCTGCTTATTTCTTGTTCAGAGCTAGTGAGACAGAAACCAGCATTAGAGCTGTAACAGTGTCAGCTTGATATTTAGAAGCCAGGCCATGCTCTGAGGAGGTTGAATGGACAATTTTGGGCACAGGACATGGATAACTAAATATGAATTTGAAAAGGGGCTTCAGCTGAAGATGAGCAGTGCAGGGTTGTTCCCAGCTTCCAGGTTGCACCTATGTGATACAGATGCAGCCCTCACCCAAACCCATGCAATGGCCTTGGCAAAGCATATGACAAGTGTCAATGCATGTAGCTAAAGGACAAAGAAGCAGAGCTGCAATGTCCTTCCTGCCTGGAGGCCAAGAACCTGTGAGAGTCACAGGCCCATTGCCCAGGGCAAGGGCAATAGCTGTTGGGGGCCAGTCTTTCAGTTGCTCATTCATCTTTGTTCACTACATCATTTTTAAATACCAAAGTAACAACAAAAACAACAAAGTCCCAATTAATACACTAGTGTGCATTAGTTTTTCTTTCTTTTTTAACTCAGGCACTCATTCAGGTCTGACTATGCAGCTCTTGGAAGTCTTGCCCTTGATTTTGATGGGACTTACACCAAACCCTGGGGTTTCACTTAGCCAGAGAGCTGACAGGATCACCGACTGATTTGACCTATTACAATTTATGCACAACATAGCCTCGATGCAACTTGAAGACACATGTAAGCCTTAAAAGCAGATTCAACCCCTCCAGTGAGAAACATTCAATTTTCCATTGGAAAGGTGCATCAAAACCAAGGCAGTCCCGAACAGGAGGCAACACAGGACTATCAAGGAAGACCATAAGACAGATTTCTCTTCCCCAAACTAATAGTGCAAATCAAGATGTTTAGCCAAGCTGTACTGAGCTAAATGTGTTGTTAATTTAAGATACAGGATAATCAAAGCAGTGCTGCCCTTTTACCTTTGTCTGCTGTTCACAACAACCTGGGGCTACCAGACAGAACCAGCTGCTGCACATTTTGTCAGAATGCAAATCCTTGCCTCATGAGGGGACAAGCATAGGATGCATGAATCTGACAAAACAGTTGTGCTAGAAGATGACCCTGGGACTCTTTTCCTGCAAAACTGAAGCATGTGCTCAGGTTTATGGGTATGAGCAAATGGAATTTTTTTTGTGTGTGGTTAATTTTCCATAAAATAAAGAACATGAGCAAATATTTGTAGAATCACATTCTTGTGGAAGAAGAATACACTATGTTTGGCACTAGAGGAATGCACTAAATAGTGTGAGTCTCATTCTGCATAACTCCCCAGCTCAGTTATTCCATGAAATATCTGCAAGGGCAGAATAAAACACAGAGGCTGCAAAACACCAGCTTCACACACATGTGAAAAGACCAGATTGCCCCCTTCCCCAGCAGCTTGTTCTACTTACCAATATTGCAGTACTTCCCTACAAATTCTCCTTTGCAGTCACAGACTATTTTCCTATTGAAGGTGATCATTTTACATTCGCCACCATTCAGGCAAGGATCTTGAGCACAACCTACAAGCAGAAACTAAGATCAAACAAGAGATACAGACTATATAAGAAAAAAGAAAGTCTGTTTAACTTATTTTAGTATGCCTCCCCTGTGCATGTATATTTTGGGGAATGTTTTCCCTTTTTATTCATCTCAGTTGATAAAAATTGATAGAAATTGAAGACAAAAAAGTCATGCTGATTTATACGCACTGAGGTCTGGCTCACTGATTTTGCTTTTATTGGGTAATGTCAGCATAGCTATTAAAAATATTACCAATGCATAGAAGACAAAATTGGGGTGGTGATTATTATTGCCAGTGGTGGTGAAATTAGTATTTCTTTCCGTATGGAGGGCTCTGCCAATTCCATGTCTGGCCCTAGGCTGCATTAAAGTTCACAATAGGTTATCTAGGAAGGAGTTTGGTCAAGCAGTTAGAACCTATGACTGGGAATCATAAAGGAAATATTAAGTTATAGTGATTTTTCCAATTCTCCCACAAACTCGCGGAGTCCCAGAAAGCCAGGCCTCCTCCATGCTTCATTTTCCAGATCTGTAAAGTGGGAATTAAAGCCATTACCAATTTGAAAGGGCTTTTATGCAGCTTAGGCAGTACTGCAAGCTGTTTGGGCAGGTCAAAAGTCCTAATTAGCTGTCAGCAGAGCCCGACTCTATAGCAAGGTAGCCCCAGCCCAGCTTGTACTCAGGTGAGGCCTCTCTCATGCCTCTTCCAAAACAGAGGTTTCCCGCAGGCTGCAAAACCTCAGAAGCATCACCCAGGCCAGGGATGGGTACGTCAGCCTAAAAGTCCTGGGGATTTGGGGGCAAACACAGATAAATGGGACCTGAGAGGTGGGTACAGTCCATATGCTGGGAATTCAGGAACCAGACAGGCTTGGGAGAATCCATGGAGTGAGATGGCAATTAAAGAAGATTGTACATGTGCAGGGAAAGAGCAGGGCAGGGTGAAGATCACAGGCATGTTACAGCCTGGGAAACAGCTCGTAAATTGAGAATTTTTACCATTTCTATTATATAACTTCCTGCATATTCTTACATGCTGCAGCTCAGGATAAGATCCTTGTTGAAGAAAGCATGTGGGCATGTCCCTAAAATTCAACTTAAAGTGCTTAATTGCTTCCTCAAATAGGGATCAACACAGTGAAGTAATTTCCAGGATCAACATTACTGCTCACATATGGAAAGCAAATTTAAAATGTTCCCTCTTGTGGGGGACGTGGGCTGCAAGAGCAGCACTACTGCGTACAACAGCCCAAGGGCTTCGACATCCCTGCTTTCATTTCTCACCAGTCATGAGGGACACAGGGGTAATACTGTAAAATCGTGACCCTTACTTTGGTGTTCAGTTTTCTGGCACTTGATCTGGCTGTCCGTGCACGTGCACTGCTCCACCACTCCTTGTCGGGCCCTCGACCAGCTCATGTCCACATCGAAGAACTCATGGAGACTGTCATCAAAACACTTCTCTAAAACACAGTTTAAAAAATAACACAGGAGCAGACATACCCAGCTTGTCCTGCTCAGACAAGTTAACCTGCATGGTATGGAGGCCCATAGCCACCACAGAAGTTGCTCCAAGTACCTCCAGGCAGAGGTACTCCTAAGGTCCTATGAACATGACAGTGTTACCCTACTAAAAGCTGTGTCAGGAAACACAAATAATAAAATCCCACTCATCCCACTGATCCCCATCTTCTGGACACAGTGATTCTCACAGTTGATGGGTGCTGATGGAGCCAGTGCCTGAGAACTACGACTCAGAAAGGTGTGTTTGCACTGGAGAGAAGTCCAGAGCTGCAGAACAAAAAGGCTCCATCAAGCAAAGACAAGCACAACTGCAAACCCTCTGTGTAAAGTGCCAGCTCCTCTCCTGAAGTGCAGGAAAACAGCAGTGACATCAACTGCTGCAGAACTGGAGGAATAATCCAAGGACAACCTTTTGGCCCGACACCTCCTTCGGAAATAAACCCACTCAAGGTGGAAGAACTATCTGGTTTTAAAGCTAGCACACATTTTAATGGTCCTATGTGTGCATATACATAAAGGGCAAGGTGTCACCTAGAACTGTGCTGCTTTTTCATGTCTCCCCACCCTACTTACTGGATGATATTATTAGTCATTTCCAAACATGCAAGTGATATTTAAATCTTAAAAGAAGAGAAGGGAGGGGAAGAGGCACTTTGTGCTTCCCATGGTTTAATACCTCGCTGGCTCAGAGCACGCTTGGATTTATGACCGTATAATCAAGCTATTTTCAGCTGTTCTGTCAGTAATGGGTTGTCTGTCATAACCATTTGCAAACCCACCTACACAAACACGTGTGCCGCAGTGGTCTCTCCCATCTCATCAGCGCTACCTTTTCATCAAGCCAGCCTTAATGAGCTCTGCTAGGGTGCAGCTTTTATTTCCCATTGCAGTGTCTCCTGGAGGACGATACTCACTCATCTCACAGTCCTTTCCTGTGAACTCCTCGGGACAGGCGCAGTGGTACCGCCGGCGGCCACGGGCAGAGAAACAGGTCCCGCCGTTCTGGCAAGGGCTGCTTGCACAGGGATCCAGAAACGCTGAGCGAGAGGTCGGCGTTAAGAAGAGCCCAATAAGCGACGCTTCATCGTGCCAGGCGTCAGCCTGGTTACATTAACCATTTTGGGTCAATGCACAGTCATTTGGATGCCACCTATGCATCTAACCAGAATAATATTTATCCAGCCAATTTCACTTGTATTTTTTTTAAGCTTCATGGCAACTATATTTACCCAGTGTTATTTACCCAGCTTTCTATAATCACGTAGTAAATCCTCCAGCTGAACCTTCTCCCCCAGCATAACCTGTCCAACGCTGGTGGGTTTGGGGAGGCCCACGGAGGCCGCCAGGGCCACGAGGCTGGAGAGGGGCCAGTGCCCACGAGATGGAGCTGTGCCCGTGCGCTGGCGAGGGGAGGCTGCAGCGCAGCCTGCGCTGCCGCCCGCAGGTTTTCCATTCCAGCTCCAGCAACTGGGATGAGGCATCTCCCTTCCAAACAACACCAAGAACCCTTCCTAGCAGAAGAAAAGCAATATTGCTGTGGATTTTTTGTTTCTAAAAGGAACAGAGAGTTGAACAAAGCCACAAGTTTTGAAGAAAAAGGGCACTGCTAAGTAAGTCTGATCAACATGACCGGACTAGCCCAGCATATCTCTACTTTTTCAAAAGGAATTTTCTAAATCATGGGAAATCTGAGGAGGAGAGCAAGGGAATTACCAGGACTATTCTCTCATCCCTGTGTTGGAAGGTCAGCAACACACAGTACAGAAGTTGTAAGAGTCATGCTGAGCAGGGTCTTGGGGCTCACCTCCCCAACATCACATTTACACCTGCTGAAGAGTTGGCCAACAGCTTGTCCATATTCAACTCCTCTTTTTTATACTAGTCAAACTCAGCGAGGGGAAACGTGGAGCTACTGCAATCAGGTGCTCCTTCGACTAGGCTGCATGTGGCAAAGCAGCACTCACGTATAACAACACGGACACCCGCGTGCAAAGCTGAGCACTTCAGGTTCATTCCTGAACTGGCTGCAGGGAATGTGAAGGCCCCTCTGCAGAGACCAAATATTTGCTTCAGAGTTCGGTGGCGCAACGGATATCAACTAGCAGCGCTGGGTGTATTCACAGGTAGTTTCACTGCAGGATAACATCAAAGGAGAGCAAGTAAAGGCAGTGACTGTCCTACTGCTCCTGCCACTTGAGAGTTATGAAATTTTTAATGCTGGAATGTCTCCTCAAAGGCAAATTCTGTATTCTTTATCTCTGACACATTCAAAGCATGACCTGTTCTTCAGGCCATTTTCCAGTACAGTGACAGTCAGGTCATTTTCTGTATCTGCACCAAACCTGCAGAAAGCACTTTCAGTCCTTCCTTTCTCTTCTCTTTGGAGACCTCCAGTGCATCCATCCACTCTCCCTTGACTCACCACTGGCTGCAAATACCTCCCAAGATGTTTCCTTCAGCATCCAAGCACTCTGCCCCTCCCTGCTGGGACTCCTGCCACTGATCTGCAGAGGGCCGTGCTTCTACCTTTTCCAACATCTAGAGCCGCCCAGCCCTAAAGAAACAGCACCCTAAAGAAACAGCACTTGGTGCTCACTTACAGTTGCTTTGGTGCAACTTCAGCAGTTGCTGAGGCTCTGCTGAAGTAGCAGAGAGCTTGTCTCACATTTCTAGCCATGCTTCCCCACCATAACTTTCTACTTCCACCACACACCTTCTCCAGAACTGAGCCTGCTCTTCCCTGGTCACACCTGGGATGATGCTCTTCCTTCTGCATGCACAGTCCACACTGTTCTAGTTCTTCTTTACATATCAGTCCAAGTGTCCTTTAAAAAAACCCTGCTACCTGGCTCTTTTCTCACCAGTCACAAGGCTCACCTGAGCCTCCCTGGGTTTTTGCCCATTTCCACAAGACTCCCAGATCCTCCTCGGCAGTCTTCAAGGACTGCCCAAGAGCTGGAAGTCCCACAGAGAGCAGCAGATACGCCTAAAAGTACATAGGGCAGATAAGGGCAGCCCAGCTGGCCCATGCATGCAAAGGGCTCCCAACCTGCCCACATGTGGGGGGCCTGGGCCCCTCAGGTCACCTCAGGCAGAGGTGTTTTTCTATCTTAGTGCCTTAAACTCAGCATTAACTTACAAGCAGCTTCAAGGATTTCAGGTAGATCTCTTATGTACAAGTGATAGTCAGGGTATGGAGAGTCTCTGCTTCAGCCATTGCTCTCCTTTTCCCACCTGGTGTATATGTTCCTCACCAACCTTTCCCATCCAAAGGATGTCTTCTCTCCCACCAAAGTATTTTTTCTTGACATTAATGCAGATTTTGGCAGTGTGCAAGTGAGGCACATAGACAGCTCTCACTCATGCGATGACCAGGACTGTGCTTTGCTGTGCAGAGGAGCGGGCTGTGCTGGGGTGGTTTGTGTCTCTTCCTGGACATGGAGAACCAGCACAACAGAAATACCACCTGAAGGACTAAAGTGAGAAATGGAAAAGGCCTGGAAAATCCTTGCTTTCCTGGGAGGAGGGAAATAAAAACACTGAGGCTGTAACAGAAAGGAGAGGGACAAGGGTGAGGCAGGAATCCTCCTGGTAACCAGCACGTGGACAGCCTGTGTTTTACTGGGGGATCAAAGCAGTCACTAGTTATTGCAATGTTTTAATCCCAGGGAGGACACTCATTAATAAGTGAAATCCTCATAACTTGATTTTTTGAGCACAAAGTGTCCATAAAGCCTATGTCCCTGCTTGACATGCTTGCATTACAAAGGCTCTTACATTGCTACTTGCCTTAGGGTTTAGTCATTTCCTGTGATCTCCTGTTAATCTGCTTTAAAACCAGTCTGAAAAATAATTTGAAGTTGTTAAGTTTAAAGTGATGCTGCTGCACACCACTTAATTCTAGACTCTTGATGTGATTCAGCTAACAGTGGCTTTTCAAGTATTCTGGTAGATTGTCACCAGCCTGGCAATAAGGCTCTGGACACAATGGAAAATCCCTGCGAGGGAATGCTAAAAACCTGCTAATCCTTTGGAAGTGAGAAGGGATCCAGGGAATGAGAAGGCACCCTGCAGACTGAGCTAGACAGGTCACACCTGAAAGTAGTTTAAGGGAGAAAAGAGGATTACCAGCATTTAAATGCACATCCAAAAAATAGACTTAGGTGCATCAGGTTTGATCAGTGCAACACCCGACTTTCCAGTGTTGATCTGACACTATATAAACTAAGAATTAGAATTATTAGAATTAATATGGGTACTTAGGAATCAATTAAGTTGGATGCCTCAGCACTAGATCCACAAGCAGCCAGGTCATTAAATTGGAGCTAGAGAGACAGAGAGCTGGCTATGAAGGTAATGGTGAGGACAGGGATGCAAGTGGCTCAATGACCTTTTTGGGGCTTAATACTTTCACCCACTGCCTCAGGGACCCTCGTTTGATATTTTTCTTCAGTTTGGGGACATTTGCACATGGTCAATCCACAGCAAGTGTCCTTTCCATCAGATTGGAGGCTATTTCTTAAGGATGAAGATGCTCTCTACTTTTTTCAGTAAGCCTGCTTTATTTTGCTTTAAGACACTCTAGGTCTATTTATTGGGCCATGTGGAGAAAAAAGGAATCCTGACACCAGAGTCTTGTGATGTAAATTGTTTCAGAAAGGGGTTTTCCCAAAGTATCTTTAGTCTACGATGAGTCCTAGGAAGAGACTATAGTGCTCTGTTCTCCCTTCAGACCCTTCTGTCATTTCCATTGAAAGTTATGAGGAACTGAATTTACGATGAACTTAACAGTAGGTAGTAGCCTAACTTTATCTGATCAGGTTCTGCAAAAATAATCAACCCACTCAATTAAAATTGACTTAAAATTGACAGAGAAAGCACTTGACTATGATGACCATGTGAAAGCACTTGACTATGATGACCATGTGAAGCTGTGTCATTGCTCAGCTGAGTAATCCTTGCATTGCTCCTCAGTTCTCCTAGCATGGATGCACCCATATCCTCATACTCTCCAAAGTCATCCAAAAACCCAAAGAAGGCTCTTTTTGAAGGTCTGCATTTTTCTCTGATTTCTCTATCCTTGAGAATAGCTATAAGTTACAGATATTGTGGGAAATGTTTCTCTATCTTCTAAAAATACTAATTTCTCAAAGAGCCAGAAAAAGCAATTGATCAAATGAGAAGAAAACCACAGTCATGTCTAAACTGTGAGCAAGAGGACAGCCTCTGTGCCCAGCTTCCACAGGAGTTCAGGTTTCCATGTTGGCACTACCATAATTTCCTTCCAGGCCTTCAAATTGGTCAATAGAGAATATAATGAAGAGCAGTGGCTTCCCTACCTGAGTGGTCTTCAGATGACGAAGCACAGTATCCCCACTGCCTGTCACGGTCATAGTTATGTGTCGTTGCACACCTAGAAAGAATTCCAAGGGCAGATTAGTGCAGTTTAAGGCAATCACACCGCTATCACACCGATTGAAGCAGGAGGATCCCCAACGATCACCCAGCACAAAGGGCGAGCACAGGAAGCTTCTTTGCCCCTGATGTTGGTGGTGCCATCTGTGTATTGGGACTGCCTACTCTGAGTAAGGATTCTATAGAGAAGATGATACTCAGGAGGCTTTACAGGCTTAGGGTCACTACAAACCACTGTGTCCCTAAAAGCACTGCTTTATTAAAGTCAAGGACCTTCTTTCTGTGGTCAGTCTGGAGATGCCAAATATGTATTTTTGCACTAAAACTATAGGTCTTCATTCTTTTCAGGTGCCCCCTTGAAATTCATGTATTTTTTTCCCTTAGCATCTGTTTAATTCATGCTCTTTTTAAAACAAAAACAGCAGAAAAAAGGGTGTTTTTTGGTGAAAGGTTCTCTGTCTTGTTTCTCTCCAAAGACAGATTAAAAATGAGATGCAGAAGCAAAACAACAGGTCCTGCAGAAAAACATGACCTTCTATTTCTGAGATTTCTATTTCTGGGATTAAAAACTGAAATACAGAATAAAATCCAAAAATAAAACAAGTAAATCATGTCCTCTTTCTTCATTACTAAAGAAGCAAAACAGGACCCAACCCATTTCTGATCCCTTCAGTAGTGTGTGGAGGCAGAAGCTTTGTTTACAGAGGGACTTTTTTCCCTGGCCATCGATGGCAAACACATTTTGCACCAGTTCCTTTAAATGATTTCTATTTTTTAGCTGTCTTGACAAAAGGAGGAAGTGACTGACGGGGGGTTTCCAAAGGCACAGATAAAACCTCCCCTTTTACGGAGCAGCATCCTGCGCTGCCTGGGCAGTCCTGACGAGGCCCTGACGAGGGCAGACAAACTTTGACCATTCCCCATCACGTTTATTGCCCTCCGCAGGCTGTTACCTCCAGGACTCATGGAGCTTCTCAGGAGCACCAAGCCCACATGCTGTCTTGGCCATGGAGCAGACCTAGAGGCTTCGCTGAGGCCACCCAACGAGCACACAACAGAGCCAGGCCGAACCCAGGAGGTCCATGTGCCACCTCAGCGCTCCCTCCGTCTGAACGTCCCCCCCAACAGGCTCCAGTGCAGCATGAAAACAGCGGCTGCAGCAGCTGCCACTATATGGAAACGTATAGCTACAGGGTGCTACACATTGTACAAGTGCACTTTAAATAAAGTGCCAGATAATTTATTTTTACTATGCTTGGTTTTATTGAGCATTGAACAGTTGTGTTATCCAATAACTTTTCACCCCAGGCTTCACAAGCTAGATTGCAATGTTATTGCCAAGCACAACTGCCACTTTAACTGCCCAACTTTGCGTCTTAAGTACATGCTTTGGGGTATTTAAAATGCCTTAATTCTTACAGACTGTCTGAACGGGCCATGCATATTAAGTTTGTTGACCTCAGTTAAACAAGGATAAAAAGAAAAGGGCTCAAAAGTCTAATAGAGATTAATGCAAAACCTTTTTGAAGATGCTGTTTTCTCACAGGCATCGTGCAACTCTGCTGGGCATTAATGGGAATTTCTCCTTGCCCTTTTGGTGGATCATGCTTTTTCAAAGGATGGTCTGTTCCACAACAGGATTAAATGAGTTATAAATTAATGTTATTCTCACCAGTGTCATTGCTGGCAAAATGGCCTCACACTTTAACATCTCATTTGGGCCACCAGCGGTGGGGAGGGAGAACCCAGGGGTTTACACAGATTGACTTAGCCAAGCAGGAGTGCTCTGAGCAGCATGGGAGGTGGGAAGAAGGCTCTGCATGCTTGCACCTAAATGCAGAACTACCTGGATGCTTGACACAAAGAGTTTCTGCACATTCTGATCATTAGGGAAGAAACAACAATGTATACAAAAATATTGGGTTCTCTCCAGTATCAGCTAAATTCAAAGCAAATGGAGAACTCCATCTTTTTCCACCTTCAATGTTCCTGTCGTCTGAGGCCCTGACCTTGCTCTCCACCGGCTTCCCTCAGCTCCCTGATCCTCACACCCGAAGCTCTTCACACCTGACCCCCTCACTCCCTCTCATCTCACAGTGGCTACAAAGACACCAGTCCTCACATCGCAGTTTGCCTCTCCAGGGCCTGACCTTTTGCATATTCATATAATCCTCCTTTATTTTCTTCCGTGCTTCTCCTGCTGTTTGGGAGAATTTCAGCACATCTGCAAAGCTGCTTCATTATTCTCCTTTCATTCCCTTTAAAAAATTATTTTTTTCCTGGGAGGCCAACCAAAAAATATACTGACATTTATGTCCCTCACAGGATTTTACTTCCAGCAGTCATTCTGACCAGTACTGGCTTCGCATTTCTTGGTGTTATTTCTTTGAGTTTTCACAGAATCACAGAATGTTCAAGGTTGGAAGGGACCTCTAGAGATCCTCTAGTCCAACCTTCCTGCTCAAGCAGGCACACCTAGAGCATGTGACACAGGGTGGCATCCAGGCAGTTTTGAAGACCTCCAGAGAAGGAGACTCCACAACCTCCCTGGGCAGCCTGTTCCACTGCTCTGTCACCCTCACAGTAAAGAAGTTCCTCCTCACCTGGACATGGAACTTCCTGTGTTTCAGCTTATGGTCATTACCCCTCGTCCTATTGCTGGTCAAACATTTAGAGTTTTGGCCAACTCTAAATCCATGAGATTATCAATGTCTTTCATGAGCCTGTCACATCCAAATTTTGATAAAAGAATAAAACCCTGAATGAGGTTTTATTCCTCTTTTCGATGAAGAGATACTCATTTAATTCACCAGAAAAGCCTACTAATTGGGACTGATTTAACAACATTTTAAATTCGTGCTGTAAACAATGGGGAAATGGAATCAAGAACAGGATGGACCAAGATGGTGCATCATAAATTAGGCCTAACTCTAGTAGGCAAAGCAAAGCGGGCTATGGTGCCCCTTAGCAGCCTTTGAGAAGCCTTAAAAATACTTTTCTTTGGAGAGCAAACAAAGCCTCAGGCCGCAGCCAGACAGTTGGGAACGAATGAACTCCACCATCACATCTTTTTCTATCACCATGGTCAAGGATCACAGGTTTGCTCAGACATATTTCAGGTGTTACCCCGATGAAGACAGAGGTCTTTCTCTCTACCCTGATGATGTAGAGAGAAACTACACCTGGCATCACCAGAGCAGGCACCAGTGTCATCAGCACCAGCAAAACCCAGACTGTGAAACTTGGTCTCTGGATACTCTGACTCTCACCCCAACATGTTCTCTCCTTATCCAGGACTGACAAACTATCTAACTAGAAAACAGTTTCCTTCTGCCTCTGTCAGTTGGCCAAAAAGACCTCTTTTGCAATGTTGTTTTCAGTCTGTGGCCAGGCTATCAAATTTGCCTGCTTCCAAAGAGGGTGATAAGATTCCAGAGAGGGTGATAAGCTTTCTTGCATAGAGCTAGGCCCATCCCTGTGACCTGATGCAATGAGCACCCACACATCCAGTACTCTTGCACAGCACAAAACTTCTCTGGAATATAAGTCAACACTTTCAAAGCCAAAGGAATAGACCTGCCCTGATCCAAAAAATTGCCACCTCAAAGTGGCAGGAAGCAAGGACCAGCTTCTCAAGAACCATCTCTGTTATCAACCAGTGCTGCCACTGCTGGCACATCTAATGGCACAAAACGGTTTGCCTTCAAGTATGCCTCTTCTCACTTGAAAACATGGTTGCATGAAGCTAATGTTAATATTCTGGCTGAGTTCCCAACAAGAGAGGCTCCAAAGGCTGGCTGTGCAATAGGGATATCACTATTTGCCATGTAAGACCTGCAAGGTGTGCCAGAAGAGAGACACAGCTACGGGACCAGCCCCACACCGCAGCTAAGCCCAGCTAAGCCACTGAAAGGGGTAGTTGTCCTTCCACCTCTCACCCCAGCAGCCACATGATGCCACCACTTCCCTCGAGCTGCACCTCAGCAAAAGTCAACCATTTGTCTGGCCACCAGAATATTACTGTTTCTTTGCATTTTTTTGCCACCAAATCAGCCAGCTCACCCTGTTTTCCTCCACTGGAGACCAGAGAGCAGGAGCCACCACCTTTTGCCATCCTGCAGCAGGATCACCAAGGGCTGGCCCTGCAAACAGGATCTGCTGTCAGGCACATTCAGTGCCCTCCCACTCTGTCTGTCCCTGTACTGATTTGTCTTAAGGGACATAAGAAGGAACTTTAGCAACTCTTCCAACTGTTAGTCTTGTTTACTTGAATAGAAAAGGTAAATTACAGGGTCACCTTTAGAAGCTGGCAAGAGTCTGCTAAATGGGGATTTATTTGTGGAAACAGATCCTAATTAAAGGGAAATGCAACACAGGATAATATTAGAGGAAGCTTTTTATTTGCAAACTGCAATTATTATCTCTCTTGTGTTTTCAATAATGTTTATAAAAATATAAGCTTGTTTGCTGCTGTTGGCATAAGCAGGGTGAGGTTTCTGTAGGGAGAACTCTGACATATATTGAATTATTATTTAATGCTTATAAACAAGAAAAGCAAGGTCATGTCTATAATTATTCCTTTATATAAGTATGAAGGAATATAAATATTCCTTATAACACAAACAGCTATCCAAATGATGTTTTATATAGAGACTGCTGATGATATTTTATATAGAGACTGCTTTTAGATTTTTTTTTGTAGGATTGTCTTTTTACTGAACTTAAAACAAAGGGATGGTACATTATACCTGTGTCCCACTAGACATACACGTGTGATGTACTAGAATATATAGAGTGAAATCAAAGCCATTGGGAGCTGGCTTTGGCCCATAGTATAAAGTACTGCCTCTAATAATATCCTTTGGTTTAGATGAGCCACAGAAAGCCACTTACTGCACAAGAAACCTTTGGATAAAGCCAAGTGTCTAGAAAGCTCTCAACGATTAGAACAATCCACCATTATCTCCTGGTTTGGTTTCATTGTCATCCTCTCCATCCAAGGCCAGCTCTAAAGAGTGTGTTAACCTTGGATCCCATACGTTCCCTGCTTTTCCATTTCTCTGCTATAACTGGCTAAAAGTTGTGGCGTCGGTATGCAGAATGTTGTGTCTTAATAAGAACCACCTTAGGTATTGCGTGAAACTCAGAGGGCCCAAAGGTCAAGCGCTTGTGGCCACACTTCAGCCAAGACAATGTTCCAACTACAAAATTGTTCCAGCTCTTTTCCTTTTGTTAAGATCCTCTTGTTTCTTTGAAGCTTTTCTTACCTGGCTGCTGTCGATGGATGTTCAAGAAAATCTGAAGTGGTCTCCTAGGCTGAAGCTCTATGTCTATTTGCATAAGAAAGTATGTACTGTGTTTATAAACATATTATAAAAATATGTTTATATTACACCAGCACTTTACTCTTAAAGATGTGCCATCACAGAAATATGATACACATCATGGAAAAAAATTGACAATCCAGTATTAAAAAAAAAAAAAAAAGACTCTCCTGCATGTGCAAGTAAAGTCCATTCCATAAAATGATCTAATTTATCTCTAGCAATGCATATAGGTGCTTTTCTGTATCTTATCTGTGCATTATTTCCACATTTCTGGTACCCACACATTACTGGTACTGGTACCCTGCTTTATTGCCCTTAATTTATGTTAATACACTCATTACAGATGTTTGCATAGGTGTGTCTGCACAGATAGGCTTGCAGTAGGTGCTTGCATTTGGTATGTTGGCAAAGTCTTGTTGGTGTGGTGCTTACTGCAATGGGGTTCCCAACTGACTGCCTCTAACCTGGGCTGCCTCTAATCCTAAATGGAAATAAGTGATTAATGGTAACTGCTTCCATATATGTGAAAGCCCTGGATGAAGGGCTGGAGTGCTCCCTCAGCAAGTTTGCCGACGATACCAAACTGGATGGAGTAGCTGATAGCCCTGAGGGCTGTGCTGCCATCCAGAGGGACCTGGACAGACTGGAGGACTGGGCGGYGAGAAACCTCATGAGGTTCAACARGGGCAAGTGCARGGTCCTGCACTTGGGGAGGAATAACCCTGGACACCAGTACAGATTAGGGGTGGACCTGCTGGAGAGCAGTCCCGCAGAGAGGGACCTGGGTGTCATGGTGGACGACAAGTTGACCATGAGGCAGCAGTGTGCCCTGGTGGCCAAGAAGGCCAACGGGATCCTGGGGTGCATTAAGAAAAGCGTCTCCAGCAGGTCGAGGGAAGTGATCATCCCCCTCTACTCAGCCCTGGTGAGGCCACATCTGGAGTACTGCGTCCAGTTCTGGGCTCCCCAGTACAAGAGGGATGTGGAGCTGCTGGAGAGAGTCCAGCGCAGGGCTACCAGGATGATCAGGGGCCTGGAACATCTGCCCTATGAGCAGAGGCTGAGAGAGCTGGGTCTGTTCAGCCTGGAGAAGAGGAGGCTGAGGGGGGACCTGATCAGCGTGTATAAATACCTCAAGGGAGGCAGTGAGGAGGAGGGGGGCGGCCTCTTTTCAGTGGTGGGCAGGGATAGGACTAGAGGAAATGGCTTCAAACTGAAGCATCGGAAGTTCCACAGGAACTTAAGGAAGCATTTCTTCACTGTGAGGGTGACAAAGCACTGGAACAGGCTGCCCAGAGAGGTTGTGGAGTCTCCTTCTTTGGAGATCTTTAAAACCCGCTTGGATGCAGCCCTGTGCCACGTGCTCTAGGTGACCCTGTGTGAGCAGGGGGGTTGGACTCGATGACCTCTGAGGTCCCTTCCAACCTTCGGCATTCTATGATTCTATGATTCTATGAAATAACCTTTGCCCAAAGTGAAAAGGCAAGGCTTTAAGCATCTTAGTAGAATAGATCATTATCTAAAGCACAGTAGTAATGCCTCACCTCTTTGGATTGCACTGTCTAAAAGGGACCTGGTGCAAATCTGGAGAGAAATCAGAGGCAAGAAAGAAGAAAAACAATTTCCCTCCCAAAATATGCTGTAGTGCAGTACAAAGTGTACAGCTCATACGAGTCAAGCAATTCCTTAAAAGAATATCATTTACTATCAGTGTTTTTACCTCCTCTTTCCTTGAGTGGGAGGGATTTTTCAGATGGTTCCAACGTTTCTGCTTATTCTGTAAAATAATGTTCTGCAAAACAGCTGCCAATATAACTGTGGTTCTAGTATGAGAGCCAGGGGAAAGACTTTTCTGCAGTTCTTGAGTTGCAGTTGGCCTTGCAGCCCCTACTCTTTGCTTGGCCCTTCTGTGCATGAGTCTTGACCATGCACAGAAGCCGTGGACATGAGCAGAAGCTCATTGCTCCCATTGGCCATGGGAACAAGCCAGCATTAACTATTATAAAAACAAAGTTAAAGCCCAAAAAACAAAATACATTTTTCTTTGAGCAGTCTTCTTTTGTGAAGAGTGCTAACTTACCATTCCCTTCGGGAAAAGTGATTTGATACACACGAGTGGTAAAACCGTCCACCATACCGAAAAGGAAATTTGCACAAAATTCCATCCTCTGTAAACACTGAAATAAAGGCACAAAAATGTCAAAATGCTGCTATATCTTATCATATCCTCTTTATAAAACAGCATTAAAGATATATAGCATGTCAAGTTTTTCAGCAGTACTTTAGATTCTGTGTCTTTGCAACTGCTAGTATATAAGAAGAGGCCTTGATTCCTGTGCAGTGAGTAAATGAACAGAGACTCAAGGGTTCTACAGTAGAATAAAAATCTCAGCTCATTTCAGCTCTAAGTTTATCGCTATTCTTGCTACATCAAATGTCAATTATATTCATTAATTGCAGTTATCATTTCTAATTATATATCGTTGTTAACGGCATATTAAATTGATTTCTGAAGTAGTATCCTTTTAGGCTCCATATCACACTATAACATCAGTTTAAAATGCTTAAGGCACCCAACAGTGCAAATTGTCAGGAGAAAGAGGTTTTAAAGGTTGACAGATGACAGATGACTTTGTATCATCTTTCTTCATGGAATTGGGCAAGCTGTGTGTCTAAAAGGGGCAAGTTCTACATTCACCATGAAAGACCTTAGTCCTAAGAGCCTAAGGAAGAGCAGTAAGAAACTAACAGAAAAAAAAAAAAAATCAAGTCTTTAGAATGAAAGAGACTGAAGATAAGAAAAAAATAATTTAAAATACCTGCCGCTGTGGTCCAAATTCTCCCCAGCCAGGTAGATCTGTGGTCACCTTATCTACCCTCTCTTGCTCTATCTGCCCCTGCGAAGCAGCTACTGCCACTTCCTGGGCTCTCCATATTCAAGCCTGGTTGTCATTGTCCAAACTAATTGGACAAATATCAGGTATTTTCCATGGCTGCATCTAACCTCCCATTAGAAGTGGCTAAAGAGGCTGTGCAAATAGACCCATAGCTCATCCCAAAGGCCTTCAAAGAGTGTTACAAGCTATAAAGGCACCATTAACGGCCCGATTCTTGCAATCCATAACAGCAAAAGCACAGGACAGTTAATAGGGCTGGTAATGTGCATGCACAGCAAGGCTGGCTGCCTTTTAAAGTGTCATTGAAACAAATGCAGCAAAGCTGTTTACATGGAGCTCAAATCCCTCTCTCGGAAAGAGCCAGGCTGCATTGGCATAGTGGAAATTGAGCCCGTACATCTAAAGAGCTTATGTACATTAAAGCTGCAGGGCAGACACAGCCCTCATTTAAATAAAGGGAGTTGCCCATCTATAGCCCCCTCACGGTATAGGGAATATACACCACAGCAGCTCAGAAGTAAAATCCCATCAGCACCTTCCCATTAATCCACGCCTGAAGGAAAATTACCCTCAGTTCCTGAGCTAAGCCCAAATTCCCCTGTACGTAGAAAGTAATATTGTCATAACCATTCTGTAATCCTTATCCAAGGGTTCATGTTGAAACAAAGGCTTACTACTTATTTGCACAGCACAGATACAGACAGGCAGTGAGTTCTTACTGTCATGAAAGCTTTTGGGTTTGACTTTGTACCTTGTGGGCGAGTGAACTCATGTTTTGAGCCGCTTCGTGCCCCAGATTTGTAGTGCTACAAAGAAAGAGAAAAAAAAAAAGAGAGAAAGAGAGAAGAACATGGATTGGAGACACAAATTCACGCTGGAAATCACTCTGTAGAGACAAACGTTCCCTCGAGGAGTAACACCAAGCGTTGGCACGCTCTGCTTCTGCAAGGAGCTCGTTATTTAGGTGTAATCCCAGCTGGGGCATGAACTGGGAAGAGAGGGAAGGTAAACAGGGACTGTGGAGAGCTCTCAGTTAAAGCAGGGAAACCCAGCACAGCACAAAATCCACTGTATCCACTGTGGCCCCAGTTAACAGGGGCCACATATCCCATTTCTTGCTACAGGAAACGTGTATGTGTTTGGAGCTAGCTCGTAGTTGCAAATAACAAGCCAGACTTTGGCCTTTCCTGCTGTTTAGCTGCATCCCCCCGGGGGTTAGTTAAAAAAGCAATCGCTGCTTTATTTGGGTTTACTGATCAGCAGGCAAAGAGCGCTAGGCTGAGCTGATTATAAGCCACAAGAAATAATTTAAAAAATGGTAATAAAGTGCTGCTGCCACTAAAGGTGCTGACAGCTATGCTCTAGTAAAATAAAAATACCACAAAAGGCAGCCAAGGAAGCAGCAAACCATGAATGTAGAACTGGGTATGGGTTACAGTAAGCAAGAAACCAGACAAAGGTCTTGCTTAGATGTGTTGGGAAGGCGTGGATAAACCTGAGGAAGAAACAATCTCTGTGCTCCCCAGTCTCCAGAGCCTCCAACCAATCTTTGTCTTGGGCACCATAATTTTTCTTTTCCATTCCTAAGTGCAATATCTGAGGACACACTTGTGTATTTCCAGGGTCTAGGTAGGAGTTCAGCATCATTTGGGCACATGTGAGCACCCAGGGTTTTCATGGCGTTCAGCTCAGCAGAGCTGAGCTCAGCAATTACCCAAAATTGAGACAAATGCAAAAAATAAAATAAAATAAAATAAAATAAAATAAAATAAAATAAAATAAAATAAAATAAAATAAAATAAAATAAAATAAAATAAAATACTGAAGTACACAGCATAAGAATGGTAATAGGGGTAGGTGTTTATCTAAGCTGTCATGTTTGGCCACCACACACGGGCAGAGCCTGGTGGGTCATGCCGTTGCAGGTACCTGCTTGTATTTCTCGGAGGCGTTCTCCAAAGTATTTCAGCTGTCCCCTTCCCCCCGCCCCAGCTCTTCCTCCCTGGTGGGGCAGGCACGTGGCTGGGACGTGGCTCCGGGGTCCCTGGAATCGCCCTTCCCTTGGGCCTGCGCGGCAGCTTCGCTCACCCGACCCCAAGGCAACAGCGCCCTGCCAACCAGCACGTAGGCGCAACGGAAAAATCCCACTTACCATCCTGAAACCGTCACTGCACAGAGTCAAAGCCAGGGCAAGAGTGAGGAGGGCCCCAGCTCTCATCTCTGCTTCCCTCTCGCTCGGGTCTTGCCCGGCACGGGCTGCTTTGCCGGGCTGTGCTGAAGCAGGAGGGTGAATCAGCAACGAGCTTTCACAAGGGACTGTGATTTACCTGACTTTGGGGTATTTTGGTTTTCTAAGTAAGCACAGCTCTTATCGCTGTTAATCATTAATGTCTCTGTGGATAGATGGGAATGCCATTTAGCGAGATCATCTACTGAAACCGTGGGGAGTGAAGGGTTTACAAAGTGCCCGACCCTCTGTGACGATCCCAAGGGAACATGCGTCCCCTCCCGGACCTGGGCGAGGGTCTCAGAGCACCCCAGAAGACCCAGCCAGCACTGCAGCCCCAAAGCCTTTAGCATCCAACACTTGCCATCCCTTGGCCTCCGCTAGCTAATTAAAAGCCTGGTAAGTAATAATGAGGAGCGCCAAACAAGTCCAGTCAGGAAATGCGTTATATTAATGAATTATATTGCAAAATATGGAACAGATCAATGCCAGTATCAGGCACAAGAATTACGCATTGACAGATGGTTATCTGCCCAGGAATTACTTTTAATAGCAGTCCTTAAGCAACAGACTAGGAAAAACAGCTAGGAAGAAAACACATATTAGTCTGCCAAAAACTAGGGTGGACTAAAGCCTGGCTTGGCCGAGATGGCCACGGCAGAGGAGCACTTGCCAAAGGGATGTTAGGCCAGAGCTTCCACCAGCCCAATCTGCTTGGGCCCCACCTTGCCCGGCAGCCAAAACCCACCCGTCTGGTCTGGCTGGTGCAGCCCTGTGGACACTGGGGATCCCTCTCCCACCCGGCATCCGCCAAGCCCCTGCTCCAGTCCTGCAGCTGGGAAGCAGGGGGATTTTGTGCTTTAACCCAGCAGGCCTCTGCAGTGAGGCCCTGGGGCTCTAGGCAGCTACGTCAGTATGGCTTATATTTTATGCTTATAAATATGTTAGATATTTATAATTTAATCGTTTATAATGTTGGGGGGAATTCTACTGGATGTGCCATCACACTCCTGTGGCTGTCTCCGCAGTAATAGAGCTTGATAGCCTGGTTGTGTGGATGTAATTTCACCTGCAAAGCTTTCCTCTCGCCAGCCAGGCTTGGAAAAGCAAGCAAATATGGGACTATCTTCCCAAAATATAGTAGAGAACAAACAGAAAAAAAAATTGTTCCTACACAGCATTCATTGACTTGAAATAAATAAAATTTCACAGCAGACTTGAGGAATCAACCCATAAATAAAACTTCACAGCAGACTTGAGGAATCAACATATCTTACTTTCCTCTGTCTCACAAATGGGAAATTAAAAGTGCAGAGGCTGACTGAGCTGCCTGTGGACACTTGGCAAAGCTGGAGCACAGATCTCCACTTCCTATCCTCATTATTGCCTTAGTTGATCCAGTTTCTCCAAATAGCACAAAAAAAAAAAAAAAAAAAAAAAGGAAATAGCCCTCAGTTTGCTGCTTCATCCAGACATTTGAGGGCTGAAAAAGCTCTGCAGAAAGAGGGAGTGCTGTACATCTATCCCTAGATAGATGTACATCTATCCCTAGATATCTATCCCCATCTGTCCCTATCTATCATCTATCATACAGGTATCCCTGTTTGCTCATCATATTGAACTGCAAGCAAGAATTGCAGTGTCCTTCTAGGGAACAACAACTCTCAACTTTCAGCTAAAGCTGAAACTTAAATACATGAAAAAGAGAGAAGTAACAGCCCCAAGGGCTGCTTCAACGGAGCCCCGGCTCAAAGCAAAGGGGAAAGAGCAGCCACCACAGCTATGTCCAGGAGCTGCGGGAGAAGCACCACCACAGCGGGGGAAATACCCACGTGAGGAGCAGCCAAGCAGTGGTCTGAGGCTTCACAAAGGCACAAATCATCAGAAATCCCAAACTGCCCTACACTGCCTGCGTTGCATCAGCAGAGAGGCCTGAACAGGTCTTACCACCATAAGCAGAATTGAGGACATTTTCTGTAAATTACATTGAGTGATCAGTGACCCTGTGGACCCTTTTAAACCAGAACAAAGTCTGCCTTTCTCCTAAAATCAATAAAAATAAAGTAAACCACATAAATGGTTTCTTCTACACACACAAAAAAATCTTCTTGGTGACCAGCTCCTCAGAAACGTGGAGTTTTAGTTTTGATCCTGAATTAGATACCCCAGAGGGCAGCAGGAGGTGGGAAGCCCATGAGGACGGAGGATGAGGTGCGGAGGTCAGTGGCATCAGTGTGAGAACCACGAAGGGGGCAGCACAAGGGTGCACATGAGGACGCCAGCAAGCAAACTCGGGAAGGAGAGCGGACAAATCAATCAAACATCCTCAGTCACCAGAGCTGCTCTCGTTTTATCTTCCTTCCCGCCTCTTGCTTTCCAGGCAGAGCAGTGCACACCTCCGGCTGCACAGAACGGGAACAAGGCGAGCAGCGCTGCACCGGAGCCTGCGCCAGCGAGCGGAGCTGCCTTTATTCACCCCTGCAGAGCAGTGCTGCAATCCGCGGCGCTCACATAGCTTACAGGAACCTCAGCCCAGGTTTGACTAATCCCAGGCCAAGGCACAAGCAGCACAAACAGCTGCCTCCCCTTTATGCAGGGCAGCGAATAAGCCTGAACTAGCAACCCCACGTGCCCTCCGGAGACCGCCGAGCTGCTCTCAATGCAACATGCTGCAAGACTGGCTGTCACCGAGCTCCCAGAGGGGAGGACCGGCAGCAGAGAAATCCCCTTTGCGCTCTCAAAGCTGGCCCTTGTTTTTGAAGAAACTGCCATTATCCTTTTGGAGATAAGCAAGTTAAGACTCTTAAGTTTGTTACACATAATATTGAACCCTTCCGGGGGAGCGTGTAATCCAAATGCCTTTAGAGGCAGAACCTGCTACTGCTGAAGTCAACAAATGGTTTCAAAATAAGGCTAGAAAATCTTTATCATGTTTGCAAGCTGTAATCCTGTTGTAGCAAAGGCTGAAATCCCCCAGTTTCAGCAGTCACTTTCACTTTGTACTGACATCAGCACAGGAAAATGAAAAGGCAAAAAAAAAAAACTGCAGACAATAAAGCAGTAGAAAGCAACAGAGATCCTTGCTGCAGGGGGATGCACATCCTCCTCGCAGTGCTGCCTTTTGTATGCCCACCCTTCTGTCATTTCCCACATGGCAACGATTTTTATTTCCTTAAACTTAACATTAATTAATAAAAGCCGAAGCTGAAACTCTGAGCCCCTTGGTAATAATGGAACAATAGTAACAAGCTTCCTAAATTATTAAATGCTAATGAAAAGCAAATTGAGTCAGCCATCAATATTAAATAATAACATTTAATCTTTCTTATCAGTTAGGGCACCAGGCACAAATGGAAAACAAAAGCCTAAACACACATACACATCCATGCCTTTGCATTGGTACCTGCGTAGAAACCATCAGAGAGATGGAGGAGAGGCTGCCACATGACTGGATGTTCATGGGTCTTCTCAATTTTTACATTATTTCCTAACCTATCCTCATGTTTCTGAGAAATCATCCTGTTACTGCAAAGCTGAAGACAAATCATAATTTTTCTAAAAGTAACCGCATGTATTTTTGCAAACTTCTTGGTTTATTTAAGTGATGGGCTTTTCTTCTTTCAAAGCCAGGTTCTTCTTGTCTTTTGAAGCTGCCATATGGTAGCCAACTAGCAGAACAGTATTGCCTCCTGAGATGATCTTATTAACAGCCCTTAATTGACATTATTGTTATAAAGCCTGATCCCAGCTTCCTGAGCAAGAAGGCAATTTCAGGCCATGGGATTGTTGGTGTGATGAGCTTGTGTTACATCCACAGCCTCTGCCAGAGACAGCAGCATGCAGGGCCGCAGGCACCCGGACACAAAACCTGGTGGCCCTATGCAACTTAGACGCAATTAAAAATATGGCTAGTTTGAAAAAGAACAGCTTTTTCTTCATCTTTTGGGGAGGGACAGGATGCAAGAGCTCTCATGTGGCCATGCTCCTTCCTACACAGCAGCATGGCCCTCGGAGGAGATCAGGACCATCTGTGCAAACCTCCCCACTCTCCTGTTCCCTCAGGGGGATCCAAACATGCAGCTGCCCCACTACAAACCCTGCTAGAGCTGTGAGGCCTCAAGGATCCCCTTTGTAGCTGCTGCTGAGATCATTACCATCCTCTGCTCCTGGGAGCAGCTACCAAAACTCACTGGGAATGATACTGGATAATGACACACAGGTGCTGCAAGGCCAGTGAATATTTAAAGGTTTTACAATAAGGGAAGCAGTTGCACTTGGAGGAGCCTCCCCTTCCCACTGTCACTGAGGGAGCCAGCCATGGGGCTGTGGGTCGGAGCTGCCTCAGGCAAGAGCCGCTTCTCCACCAGGGTGCTGGTCTCCATGGGCAGGCCCCACGCCAGCCGGTGCCTCTTCTTCCCAGTTTGGGAGGCCCTGTTGGTGCTCCCAAGGAACACACACCAGCTTCAGCGACTCTGGGGTGAAAAATCCACAGGTTTTTAGCTTCCTGAGACAGCTGGGGTCCCATTTTAGCCTCTTATGGCCCAGACGTTCCTGTTTCCATTCCTAGGCCTGGAGTCGCACGTCACTTCTGCCGTGCAGTAGCCAGGCACAGTAAATCCGTGGCAAATCGTCCTCCCCTCCCTCAGCGGCAGGAGTCCTGCGGCAAGAAATGGGTTCCTGGGCAGCTGGCATCCAGCAAGAACAGATCTGGAGCGGCCCCTTTTTGACAAATAACCCATGGATTGGAGGAAGCGCCTTCGTGCCAGAGTGCTCCTTGCCCCTCTCATTTCCCCTGTGTCCCCCGCTCACACCTTGCCTGGCTTCCCTTGGCCTCCAGCTTTCAATTCTGGGGGTTTCTGCACCGTTCTCCTTTCTTTTGGCTCCAAGGGCCAAAACTGCCCTAAAAATAGTTTTGCTCGTGTCACTCCGTGTCACTCTCTACCTGTTGCTTTCACCCCTACATGTCACTTCTACCCCTGGGAAGTGGCCTCTTTGGTCCTGCTTTCCTCCAGGACCTTCCCATCCCATACCACTCACTCCACCTCTGAGCAACC